CTTCTGGAAAGACAGTCTTTTCATAAAGCTGGGTTGTCTATGCAGTAGACTGATGCAAATACTTGTGAAAGTGGTGCTACATGACTATAGAAACCACAGGAAAATAGCTGTGGTGTTTGCATTTTCTCAAGAGGTAGAAACGCTCAGCTAAACAGTAAGATAAAAAATGTTTCTGAAAACATTTTAGGTAAAAAGTAGGAAATGCAGTAACATGTTTGATCAGCAATGCTCAGATCGCAAAAGCCTTCAAAGAGCATCATCTGGCTGATCTGTGCACTGGTAAGATGGAGGGAAGTTTACCATAGTTCATTTACACATACTACCCCTTTGTTATGATACAGCAGGTTGAAAAATCCCTTTAAGCATGGGTCAGGTTATGAGCAGATTAGGGATAGACCGATATGGATTTTTTAGGGTCGATGCCGGTACCGATTTTTTTCCATCACCCTTAGCCGATGACCGATTATGGACTGCCGATTTTCTTGAGCCGATATTTGGGGCTGATTCTGCTTTTGCTCCCTCAATTTACATCAAAAAAATGACACAATGATAACAAATATTACAGGTCTCAAGTTTAAAATAAGAAACATTTATTGAACAGTAAAAAATACTAAAACAAGATGGAAAGTTGATGTAGAACAGGTAGAATATTATTATTATTATTATCATACATTCAAATAAAAAAAAGAGTTCAGTTCTCTTAAATCTTCCAGTAATGTCTTTATAAAATAAACAAATATTTAAGCTGAAGCATAAATAAAACAACAACTACTGTACACAGTAGGATTCGCTGCATGTGCGCTGCAGGGTCTTCCGGCAACACAGAGCTGCCCGTGGATGCCTGTCTGTAAATCATGCCAGGGAAAAATAAATCCGCGAACCCACGCGCGTATCGGCCGATGCAAGTAAAAAAAAAAAACTCAAATATCGGCCCAATAAATCGGCCGGCCAATGTATCGGTCTATCCTTAGAGCAGATGCACAAGGCACTCTGTAAACAGGAGAGCACTCTTTATGTTTGTAAATGGAGGCGCATGCTGCCGTCCATACTGTCTTGTTATGCACAGTACAACAGTCCATTTCTGTATTTCACAGTGAATTAACATTGCCTATTTTTAAGCAAGGAATGCAGATGTAATAATGCACTGTGTGACTGCTGTTGCTTTACATTCTCAATCAGTTTTCCAAATACATATCCCTGGACAGAGGGGGATCTGTGAATTTATCATGGAGGAAAGTAGATTGATTTTACATCCGGGCAAAGCCATTAAATGAATGACTGTGCCGACTTCACCACAGTGACACTGGCACATTGCTGAAATAGACGGATTCATTTTCTTTTTAACTAAAATGAATATGCACTGCATGGAGTGGTGCAACACAAGGATATAAATGATTAGTTACATGTGCACCAGAGTGCAAATGTATGTGTGGTTATTTCAAAGCTGCCTGGTGCTTGTCCCACAACAGTTAATGCATGTCACCTTTGGATCTGTAATGCAACATAATATTTTGACAGTGCAGGTCACTGCATTCACAGACTGCAGGTAAGCTGTTACTGTCCCTGCGGCCTATATTAATAAAGTTAATAATGTGAATAAAGCTTTAAAAGTACTAACTGCTAGCCTATTATCCTGTTTTCTTTTCAGCACAACCCTGGGGTGACTGCCTTTGCAGCTGGCATTAATGCAACACTCTCGAAACAGGTTTATAACAGCAGAGGGTCAGGTTATGTACAGGCGACCCTGAATATGCAAAGCTGCTGCCTTTAAGTTCTCTACTGGCCACGCAGTGTCCACAGACACTGTGGAGACAACCAGAGCAGCTGTCATATTCAACAGTGAGTACAGTGGACTTCCTTCACACAACGAACCTGAACACAAGCTGTGAGAAACACAGAGCCCACTTTATACTGATGTGTCTCGCTCGTCCCGCTCGCTCTCCTCTCATCTATTGTCAATGAAATACAGACACTCCAGTGTCATGTGGCTATTAGTGGTCAACACAGTGGTTATCAGCAGTCTGAACCCTGCCCTGCATCATCTCTGTTTCACACAAACACACACACACGCACACACACAGAGTCTGTTTGTGAATGGAAATTTGGGCCAGACCATTGTGTGTCTCTTTGAAGAAAGACAGCCATTGTTGAACTGGACTTTAACCCCCTTGGCTTCCTTCCTTCCTTCCTTCCCTCCCTCTCTCATTCTCCCCTTGTCATCGACTACTTGTCAACACTATGATGATGCACTGCTGTCGGTGATTCTTCCTATTGGTTTGTTGAAATTCAAGTGCACCTGACTTGCAACCCTGATATGGAATAAAGCGACGTTCCCTCGCTCTTTTACATTCAAATGAATGAGACTCAGGGCTGATGAAGTAATATCTTCCACATAATGTGATCATTTGTCAACATGCAGAATAAAGAGTCAGTAATTATGAATCAGTTGTGACAAACTGTCATTTTGTGTTAACATGGGGTAAGGTGATGTCTCAGTCTCCCTTCACACTGCCTTCGACTCATATTACATCCTGGTGCTGTATGCATAACAAACATGGCTTAGAGCTGAACAGTGTCAAAACTCCTTTCAAACATGTCAGACAATGTAATTTCCAGGCAGTAAAGATAAATTACTACACTTTGATTAATACCATCTAAACTGCACTGATGATGGAAAACCCATCTCGTAGGATAGAGGCAGGTTTAAATACACTAACTACTATTTGCAGCTTCTATTCAAACTACGTCTGAGTTTGCCGTATGGTACAGCCTGCTTTATGTATATCCACTATGGCCTGTTTGCTTGTTTCAAATCAGATCAATTTACACCCCACCATTGACTCTACTGGCTTCTGGTTTTCCCCAGTGTCTTTAAATATTAGATTAAATGTTATGCAAGCGGGAAACCAGTTTACCACTCTCACCAGCCAACCTGACGCTAATCTTTCCGGGGAATTTATATATATAAAAATCACTGAGCTTTTTTTATTTAGTGAGCTTTTATGTTCCCACACGTGACATTAAAAGGAAATAAAGGTAATACGATAGATTAATATTAGATATAATTGTAACAGTGATGACAATAACATAATATAAAGCATCAATAAAACAACAACAGTAAAAAATAATGACTAAAATTAAATAATGTAGTTGCAAATTATGAGATTTAATTTTTGATTGATTTTGAATTTTGCATTTATTTAAACAGTGGACTGTTGTGGGAGAATTGTATCACTTTCCTGTCCTAATTGGAGGCTGACATGTCAAAAAATGGAGAAAAAAATCTAGACACAACAACTCATTAAACAGGAGTGTAGGCCATCCGCCACTAACTGGCTTTATGTTTAATAAGACAGGGAATAGGAAAGTACTGTTGCCATGATACCAATATATTACACTTAAATATAATGCTGGTATAAGAACAACAAAACTCCACACCTCTTTCGTTACCATGGGGAAAAAAAGTCCTTGGAACACAAAATAGGATTTTATTTTCTAATTTTTTTAATTGAAAAAAAGTATTTCACGTCTGGAGAGATGGTCTTTTCATCAAACTGGGCTGTCTATTCAGTAGAAAGATGCAAATACTTTTGAAATTGGTGCTTCATGACCACAGAATACTGAGAAAAAGAGCTGTGGCATTTACTTTTGATCAAGACGACTACCAAAATGCACTGTTGCACCCGACCAATAAAGGCTCCTACTGGTGGGTGACATAATGCGAGCTGGCCATCCAAAACTAATATGGTGGCTGGCTGGAGACAAACAATCTGGTATTACAGTTAAACAGTGAGCTAAAATATGTTTCTGAAAACATCTGAGGTGAGAAATAGGCAACGCAGTAACAGAATCATGGTTTATATTTGATCAGTTTGACAGAGAGGGGGACGGCTTTCTCTCTTAATCTGCTTCTGCACTCTTTGTGTCCGTGATGGTGGCAGACATGCAAAAATAAGGAAGTACAATCTGTAGTTTGAGCCACAGCCCAAGAGCCAGGGAAAGTATTTCCGCTGGCAAATAAGCAGTGAGATTTGGGCGTTGGCAAGATGGAGGGAAGTTTAATATAGTTCATTTACACATACTACCCACACTGTTATGATATTAAGCTGGTTGAAAACAGTATCTCTTTAACAACCTGCACACAGTGCTGGTACAGGAAAGTCACTGTACACACACCTCCAGCCACATGGTGGGTTCGAAGCTGGAGAGAACGCCGTAACAGCAACAGGTTGAGGATCGGTTAATTTTCTTCCCTGTTGTTTTATCTCTGCAACCTTGGGTTGAAAATCTGTATCTACAGTAGGGCTGATTTAATTTAATAGCTTTCTTACTTTCAATTCTATCAAATGTATAATCAGCAAAACACCTGATATCAGGAAAGTATCAATACTTTTGACAATCTGAGCTGAAATACAGCACTGGCTAAAACAACATCCAGTCAAGTGCAAAAATATGAAAGCATAAAGTTAAGTATATTTCATGCAGCATGCAGCTAAGCACTGATCCTGAAGCAGCATGATAAGCAGCTTCAGATGCCTGAATGAATATTACATCAAAGGAATGTCAAGAGGAGCAAAGATGTTACATGTTACTGCCTCATTATGACCTCAGGATCAACTGTTAGAAATTCAACCTACTGTAAGTGGCAACTGCAAAACATTAGTATGTCCTATCTAGTCATTCCATGTTCATCTGTCTGTAAGGTAAGATGGGAATTTAAAGAATTTCTTTTAGATTAGATCATTTTCTCAAATCATGTGATGGGACCTAGACAGTACCAGATCTGTCTCAACCACTGTCATTTGCCTCATGAAAACTGTTAAAGTGAAACTGCACTAGAAATAAGTAGGATCGTCATTAAAAGATCGCAGCAGTGAATCACAGTCGACCATGACCATGATTTAAACTAAAGCATCTGCAGCTTAACTTCACACCTCCACCTCGAGCTGTAGGAACAGCAGCGCTGCTGGAATATCAGCGGTCAGAAACAGTCAACTCACACTCTTTCATCATGCCGATGTCGATGCAGCGTTTGAGACGACAGGCCTGGCAGTGACGCCGGTTGTCCTTGGTGATGGTGCAGCTTCCGTTGAATGGACAAGTGAAAGAGGCTTTACGCTTCATACTGCGCCTGTGGGAGAGCAAATCGATTACTCATTTAGCTTTGTTTAGTCTCCATGGTGGTTCAAATACTGTTGCATACTGATGATAATGCAATCTTCATTCATCCAAGGGATTTTTTCAATACATGTTTTAACCCTTCTAGATGCAACATACTGTATATATAACCATTTCAGAGGCAACAATTAGCTGCAAACTACACTAAAACAAGAGTCAAATCAAAATGAATGCTCCTTTTTCAACTGTTTTAAATACAGTGACATACGATTTAGGAACAGGGATCACAGCCTAAGCAACGCACTGCCTAATTTATATTTCCATAAATGCTTTTTAATGATTGCAAATGAAATTCTCCCTGAACCAGCTCATTCCATTCATAATAAAAATCAAGGTTTGTTTGAAGGGATGGCGTCTCCACTCTTCAGATGCTGGGATTCAAATGAATTACAATACTTCATTAGTGAATCCTTCTTAAGAGTCCTTGATTTATGAAAATAAAAGCATGTGTGTTGCGTGTGTCAGTTTGTGTGTGTGAGTGACTGTAAGAGAGCAAATGAACTCCACTGTATAATGTACCTTATATATAATGTATAGCATGCAGCCAGACATAAAAACACATACTGTACCATAACATCACAAGCACTGTATACTGACAGACAAATTCAGTGCTGCTTAAAAGTAAAAATAAGCCTCACTTATGAACCTTAATGTAGGATATTAAGAATATAACCTGATCATTTGTAACTGAACGTAACTAACGACAGTCTTGACTTTTGAAATGCACAAATTCAGTTGAAGGTTGGAGGAATCATCGCTGTTAAAGAACATAATGCCCAATATAAAGCAAACAGGATGCATGCAGAGGACAACTCCTCCACACTGACAAGCAGATAATAACACCTCACAACAGTGACACACAGCCTTCCTATAACCCCATCATCCGACACTGAAACTCACAGAAGGCAAAAATGTATGACATAAACATGATTCACAACACAAGGACAGCACCCACCTGAAGAATCCCTTGCAGCCTTCACATGTCATGGCGTTAAAGTGGAAGCCGGTGGCCTTGTCACCGCACACGCCGCAGATCCGCGGGGCGTTGCGGTCAAACTCTTCTGGTCCGACCACCGACGTCGTCACCGTCATGGGCTCCATCACTGCCAAGAAAGAAACAAAAAGAGGGGTGATTAGAGCCCCTTTTGACACTGCTCCTTGTTTACAAGTGAAACGCTTATATACAAAAAGATATAAGAGGTGAGGAATATGTGTATGTGTGATGTCTACTCTGTACCTCGCCCCAAAGCTCAGAAATCAGTTTGTTTCCTCTGCTCCTGTGTTGTGTGGGAGTGTTTGAGTGTGTTTTTGATGGGGAGGTGTGTGTTTTCCTCTTCTTATACAAACAGGTGTCAGGCTATTAGCATATTTAGCAAAAGGCATTGACAGCCACACTGACTCTCGCAGCTATTGGCTGAATGACTCAGCAGACACAGGCGCGCTCACTCACACACACACACACACACACACACACACACACACACACACACACACACACACGCCTGCAAATGCATACACAAAACACTAAGAATCGTGAAATTACAATGTTAATGGGAAAGAGAATTAATGACAGAAAGGAGGTTATTTGCCGAAGGCTAGGAAATGACTGATACATTTAATACTGCCAAGATGAAAGCGCTCATTTTTCCACGCTCACACCATCTGGCCGTCCCCGATGGAATAAACAACAGTAGAGTAACACACACCAACAGGCCAACTGTGAGCAGACTAATCCATATCAGTCAGTACAGAAAGATCCTCTGACTGAAGTCTGATTGAAGTGACGAGGACACTTAAAGGACGTCAAAAAGGAGAGGAGAGACATAATGCAGGATGAGAGGAACACTATATGTTATAGGTGTGATCAGTGGGTTTAAGAGTTGGCCTTTACACAATGTGTTTGATATGGTCACACAGGACTGACAAACGCACTCTGACTGCGTCTTCGATTTCATCTTACTGGTTATGCTGATGTGACCTCATGAATATGTTTAAGCTGAACTGACCTGACCTCACAGACCATTTCCAAGAAAAGAACTAAGATAGAGACGCTCAAAGATATGTTACTAAAGTCATTTTAGTGGCCAATCAACTAATTTATTTACTCAGGCTTTATCTTTTCCCTACTTAAGATTATCAGACAGCTGATAGTGCAGACAGCAAACAAGGGTTTTTTTTAACTGCATGAAGCTAATAAGGAAACATAAATCAAAGGTGACAAAGAGCCTCATTACAGAAAAATATCCTCACTAGTTGTCCAAGCTTACTTTAAGTTTTAAAAATAGCAAAAATCCTATCTTCCTATTAATGAAGCAATTCCTAAACGCATGGTTGTATCCTTGTATCTCAGACCTCCTATCTTATCTTAACTTATGAAATCCTAACTATAACTGTAGCTTTAACTCTTCAAATCAGCATTTGTCCTGTCATGCCAGTATCTATGTTTAGAAAGTACACAGACTGCCTGTACCTTTGATAAAAATGTACCAGCAGGCCACTCGAGAGGGACAACCAATCGTATCAACGCCCCCCCACTTGTCACTGGCTGACTAACCAGCTATCGGATAAAAAAGGACAGGCGCTCAGTTTTAGCTACGAGGAGTCATAGGGACTAATTGTGTTGGTGGAAGAGAGGAGGATTTATTGTTTAAAATAATTCTAATTCTTTAATTGAAATTTAAAGTGTCATCATAGGATTCAAGCAGCCTTACAATTGTTACATTTCGGCGTTCATGTTGTTCACCACCTTTAGTGCCAATGCCATACAGATTTAACAACAGCACTGCTGCCATCTTTGTCAGTTATTTTGAATTCAGGACAGGGTGTATGCCATCCTAACTTAGGATTGCTAACTTGGGAAATCACTAAGTTAAGACGGTTCTGTAATAACTAAATTCCTATTCTAAGATAAGATGAGATTTTCTTTCTAAATGCAGTAAAGATACATGTTTCTATAATAATAAAAAACCTAAATGTCATCCTAAAATGAAACAATTATAGGATTTTGGGCTTAGGAAGTTTCTATAACGAGGCTCCAGGTACTAACTGTACTGCTCAAGGTTCATTCATCGCCCTTCTACAATGCAGAACTGAGCAACACAATGCAAGGTGTAATCTTTTTGTGCTACACAAAAAACAAACCAAAACTAATTTTCATGGTTGAGTAGTGGGGATGAGTCAAGGAGTCTTACAGCCTGAGGAAAGTAGCAGCTCTGTAGTCTGGCAGTACGACAGCAGATACTTCTGTATCACTCGCCAGACGGCAGCAGTATGAACAGGCTGCTGCCGGGGTGGGTTATGTCTTTTAATATCCTTTGGGCTCCGTGCAGGGATCTCGGTGCCGTGCTCAGTAGATGGGTATTAACGATGAAACCATCTTCTGTAGCTGTTTAAAAACACTGTACTGTATTTAACAACCTTTAATATGTATTTCAAGGAACAACAAAGCAGCTTCTTTACTTCCCTAATAGGATGTAATTTTTATTGAAACAAATTTATTTCAGAAAGAAAAAACATGGGAGTGAGAGTGGTTGTTTTGATAGGAGGAGCAGAAGGATTACTTCAAAATGACAGATGGCTTTACTGGTTTGATTCTACGCTCACATCTACTACTACACGATGGGGTTGCAAATAAAGCTTCAATTTTTTTCCAAAAGGTGACAATTTTCCAAAAAGTTATATTCCTTTCATTACGTCGTTAAGGACTTAAATTAAGATGTCAGTTCAAATTTACAGATATGATATAGTAAAACATGCTGACACTAGATTACTTTGTTTAAATTCAAGGAAAAGGGTGATGGAAAGAGGGATATATAACACAAAAACTGTAGGGACAAGGAAAAGACTCAAAATGTAACAAAGATTGAAAGAGAGAGATGTGGGCCTGCAGACAAACAGTATGGAGAAATCCTATGTGTGAGAGAGGGAGAGGTCATTTGAGGGGAAGACAAAAAATGAGGACAAAAATGGGAGGGGGTGCATGTAATGCACATAGGCCCAGCGTGGAAGAACAGTCACGTGGCTGCAGAATATAGCCTGCGGGGAGTTGACGTGCATAGAAGTAGGACTCAGATGGTGTCAAACGAGGACGCCGAGATAGGAGGAATTGGCGCGGCGGAGCGACGGATGGCGAGAGAGAAATAATGAAAGAGCTGAGAGGGGAGGCAGGTGAGAGCGCGAGTGAAGGATGGAGACAAACATAGTCAGACTCCATTAGCTCTCATTACATCTTGGCCGGTTGAAGCTTCAGTACCCGTTCCCAGGAAAACACACATGCGCACGAGCCACGGGCTGCTGGATGTGAAGCATAAGTCCCATTACCCAGAACGCACCACACCAGGAAAGCTTAGCACGCACTAACGCACACACTTCGATGCAGGTGGAGAATCACTTTAACGCATGTTGACCATCTTTGACGGGTTTGTGTGTTCCTGTGTGTGTATGTGGTCTCATGCAAGCAAACTCATCCACATGCATCATGAGTGATTTCAGGTGACGTGTGCTGGGGCGTTGACAGATACAAAAACAAGACACACACCATTAGTCATCCTGTCACAAAAACAGCTTTTTTCTCAGATGCAGCAACAGGTGAATAATGAAAAAGATGGAGAGGGCCAAACTGAGCGACAGCGTGTCAAACATTAAAACAGATCTGCAACAACAACAGCAAAACAAGCTGCAGTTTCATTAGTGGTGCTGATTAACAACAGTGCGAGTGAGCTCTGGCTCTGTAATTAACAACTCTAGTGTTTTTTCTTCTTTAATCACTCCTCTGTCACTCTTTTTTTTACCCTTTATGTGCTTTCTCTTACTTGTTTCTCATTTGTAACACTGCTTTGATAATTAGCAATTTTATTTATTTATAGTCAGCATGATTAGTTGGTAGAGAAAAAGAGGCAGACTTCTTAGCTGCCGGGCTGACAGGTAATTCCATCTCTTCAATTTAACACTCCTTGGTCTTTTTTTTTCCTCACACACACACACACACACACACACACTTGTTTCTATATATCTACTAAGCTACCCATACCTACATCTTCATCATCACCATCACAGGCTGGGCAATATATCAATATTATATCAATATTATGACAGTCAACCCGAAACATGGTATATCAAGGAGATTGGTTTATCCAAGCACTAAAACCAAAGCCAAAGAAACTGCAGTTCCTCTAATGGCCACTTGGGGCTGGCTTCAAGTCAATCCCCATAGACCCCATATTAAAAAGTCCAGAAGAAATAAACATATACAATTTGGTACAAAAAACTGTCTGGTCTCTATGACTAATTTCAACATTCCTGACAACCGTACAGGGGGTTTGAATTTAACAAAATTAAATGTTATTTTGACTCAAAGTTATGCATAAATAAGGGCTTGGCTGCATTCTGTATAAATAAAAGTAGGCAGGCGGCATTTTGCCGCACTCCCCGATTTTGTTTTTATACTGCCAATGCTGAAAGAGGACTGATTGGGCTTTCCTGCAAATTTGCACAATTCCTATTTAAAAAGGGCTTATAATTCAGATGCACCCCTAACTCCACAGCTCCACCCTCATGTCCAAATTTGGTCACTTTTGGCTCCAAAAATCCAAGATCCAAAATACTGAACATCACAAACCCATGGATGACATCATGATGACTACAGTCCATGTTTAAAACTAGCAATGTCAAAGCCAATCCTAGAGATCGGTCTTGGAGTTGATCTCATAACACCCAGGTTGTGCTGATTATTTCTATTATTCATTTGTAATGTTTATTTGGATGCTCACGTACCAGTTACTATGACATCCATGCCGACAAAACAAATTGAACTGAATTGGAAGACTTAAGAGAGGAATGTTGCTGGACAAAACAGACCTGAGCCGTGTATAATGGATTCTTCATGGATCCATGTTCATCAACAATTGAATGTGCGACACCAGAGAACTGATTTATTACACGTGTTAGACAGCTTCGCTCAGATCTTGTGTATGAGGAAGACAACAAGATATACTGTAAGCACGCACACAGATACAGAGACGGTTATGATTGTAGTATGACTACAAGAGTTCATCTCAAAAGATCTGTAAGTAATAAATACCTGTGTTGTGCAATAGGGCTACAC